CACGCTGATGTCCTTCAGAACGCCCTGAGCCTGCAGGAGAGGAGGGAACGTGCGTTATTAAATACAATGAACTGTTTGGATGAAGTTCGGAAGAAGTTAGAGTAAAAATATGCAATTAATAGATTAAATAAATCTAATAACATCATAATTTGTTTTTAATGTGCAATAAAATAAAAATATTTTCACAAATAGCCTATAAGAAGTTAAAAAAGTGAAATAGAAATCAAAAAATATAATAAAATAATAACCTATATAATCAGAAGAAGTTAAAGTAAAAGACTGCATAAAAAATAAAATACACTTAAATTAAATATCTATTAAAAAAATAGAAGTTAAAGAAAAAATGTGCAGTAAAAACACAATTAAATATCTATATAAACATTTGAACTTATGTACAAAAAATTGCACAATATACAATATTTAACAACAACAATATGTTAAAATGGTCTAAATTCCAATATATAAAGCGTGTGTACCTGTGAGCCGTAGAATCCGGTGAGCAGCCTCTTGTGCGTGGCGCTGCTCTCGTCCAGCTCTCCGATCTCAGCGAGGCCGTGCAGGTGAGCGTTCAGCGTCAGGTCGTCCGTCCGGCTGAGCCCCGTCACCACGATCTCATAGTGAAGGTGGCACTGACGGTCCACTGACACCCAGGCGTGGCCCGAAGCACCCGTCCTCACCGGGGGGGAGACAAAGTGACCCGCCAGGGGGGTGGGGAGCTCTGAGAGGAGAGAGGGAGGAGAGGGAGAGGGTCAATTACTTTTTACTTTGACTTCTTACACTTTGAACTCAAATACCTGTACTTTCTACTTCTTACATGTTGAACTCAAATACCTGTACTTTCTACTTCTTACATGTTGAACCCAAATACCTGTACTTTCTACTTCTTACATGTTGAACCCAAATACCTGTACTTTCTACTTCTTACATGTTGAACACAAATACCTGTACTTTCTACTTCTTACATGTTGAACACAAATACCTGTACTTTCTACTTCTTACATGTTGAACACAAACACCTGTACTTTCTACTTCTTACATGTTGAACACAAATACCTGTACTTTCTACTTCTTACATGTTGAACTCAAATACCTGTACTTTCTACTTCTTACATGCTGAACACAAATACCTGTACTTTCTACTTCTTACATGCTGAACTCAAATACCTGTACTTTCTACTTCTTACATGCTGAACTCAAATACCTGTACTTTCTACTTCTTACATGCTGAACTCAAATACCTGTACTTTCTACTTCTTACATGTTGAACACAAATACCTGTACTTTCTACTTCTTACATGTTGAACCCAATACCTGTACTTTCTACTTCTTACATGTTGAACACAAATACCTGTACTTTCTACTTCTTACATGCTGAACACAAATACCTGTACTTTCTACTTCTTACATGTTGAACTCAAATACCTGTGCTTTCTACTTCTTACATGTTGAACACAAATACCTGTACTTTCTACTTCTTACATGTTGAACTCAAATACCTGTGCTTTCTACTTCTTACATGTTGAACACAAATACCTGTACTATCTACTTCTTACATGTTGAACCCAAATACCTGTACTTTCTACTTCTTACATGCTGAACACAAATACCTGTACTTTCTACTTCTTACATGTTGAACACAAATACCTGTACTTTCTACTTCTTACATGTTGAACACAAATACCTGTACTTTCTACTTCTTACATGTTGAACACAAATACCTGTACTTTCTACTTCTTACATGTTGAACTCAAATACCTGTACTTTCTACTTCTTACATGTTGAACACAAATACCTGTACTTTCTACTTCTTACATGTTGAACACAAATACCTGTACTTTCTACTTCTTACATGTTGAACCCAAATACCTGTACTTTCTACTTCTTACATGTTGAACACAAATACCTGTACTTTCTACTTCTTACATGCTGAACTCAAATACCTGTACTTTCTACTTCTTACATGTTGAACTCAAATACCTGTACTTTCTACTTCTTACATGTTGAACTCAAATACCTGTACTTTCTACTTCTTACATGTTGAACCCAAATACCTGTACTTTCTACTTCTTACATGTTGAACTCAAATACCTGTACTTTCTACTTCTCTCATGTTGAACCCAAATACCTGTACTTTATAGGGAGGTCAGGTACTCTTTAAAACAGCTGCTAGTTATGGGTACTTTCTACTGAAGTACATTTCAAAGCCTCTTTACTTTTACTTGAGTAAAGAAGTTTAGTCAGTACTTCTACTTTTAAGGATGCGTGTACGTTCTCCATCTCTGATGTTATGGAGATGTGCATGTAAATACAAGTATCTCACCGTGTCTAGGCGCCTCCAGTCCGCTGTACAGCAGAGCTCTGATCTGACCCCTGACCTCCCCCTCCTGGCTGTGCTTGGTGGCCACGTTGATGAACAGCTCGTTCTGCAGCAGCATGTGGATGTGCCTGGCCTCCAGTCGGATCCAGCTGCCCTGCGCCCGGCCCGACGTCAGGTCGTATTCTGGAGTCAGGTCGTACAGAACGGAGCGTTTGTTCCTCCGTCGGGGTTTCAGCTCGATGGTGAGACCCAGGAACTCAGAGGAGAGTCCTGCAACCTGAACCTGGAGGAGAAGAGGTCAGGGGGAAGGGTTAGAGACTCATTCATGGAGGTTTAGTTGGGGTGAAATGAGCAAACCTTTTGCTTTGGATTGTTTGTTTCCCCTTTTATTTCACTTTTACAGAAAAGAAAGCACACATTTTAGGCAACAAACGTCAGATTGGGGACGAAAAACCATATTATATTATTTGGAAAAACCACATTATTTATTTACTGTGCGTTTTGTCTATTCTTTGGCAGGTTTATTAAACAAAACAACTAGTATTTAAAAGTACAGAGAGTTAGTAGCACACATTTTAGGCAACAAAAAGCAGATTGGGGACAAAGAAATCATATGACATAATTTGGAAAGACCACACACCTACTCTTTGGCAAGTTCACTATACCAAAGAGAGTTAGTAACCATTTAAGTGGATTATTTACACAATGGAATAAAATATTTATTTGTTAATGTTTTTAAATAAAAAAAGCATAATTGTAATATTATCTGTCATGTAGGTCATCTCCAAGTTAAGTATCGTCACAAAACAAAACCCAACATGGCACAGATGCGTACCTGGTAGTCCAGCGTGCCGTTATCATGGAGGTTAAAGATGGCCGACCCCACGCCGCCCGTCTTCCCCGGCGTCAGAGCGTCACCGCTGGACATCACGCTCTGAATAGCTGCAGCAAAACAACAACACAGATTAATATCAAAAAATCCACTTTGGAGCGAGCGTTCCGGTTCAAATGACTTATCTGAAAACCATCACTTCTCCCCGTGGAGTTTCCCCCTCCTGCTCTGTAGTAGCATGCGAGATGAGGCAATGATTCCTGTCATGTTAACATTTGCTGGTTTGGCTTTAAGAGGGGAGGAAAGGAGGGAGGAAAGGGGGGAGGAAGGAAGGAGGCATTGCATTCCCTCACGTTCTGCAGCCACATAATGTCTTCCCTTCACCCTGAGACTCATCATTGAACAGACAGATTCAATTGAACCACTAATCAGGAAGCTTTTCCCTCCAGCAGAAACACACACACACACACACACACACACACACACACACACACACACACACACACACACACACACACACACACACACACACACACACACACACACACACACACACACACACACACACACACACACACACACACACACACACACACACACACACACACACACACACACACACACACACACACACACGAGAAGAAGAAGAAAACCCACCCAAGGTTAAGCCTGACTATGAGCTAACCCTTGTTGAATGCAGCAGGAGGCTTAACAAAGATTGAGGGGGGGAAAGGGGGGAATGAGAAACAGAGAAGAATTCAGAAATCGACATGAAGACAGAAAAAAGGGAAGGAAGGACGCCAAAGAGAGGAGAGCGAAGGACACGGAGAGCAGTGTGTTGGCTTTGAATTCTTCACACATACTGTAACGTCAAGCTGTTAATCACGGCTCGGTGACCTCGGCGACTTGGACTGAAAAAAACACATATTTTACATATTTGTGTGCACGGTCTCGCGTGTGTGGAGACAATGAAAGTGTCCTTCAAAGTGCCGAGGACACCTTGATGTTCAAACACGCGTCCCAGGGAAAGACCATGTGTGCGCGCTTTACCGCTTTCAGACAGCATTCCCAAGCAAGCCCTCTTTTTCCTTTGTGTCTCTCGTGCATACACAGAGTTGGTGGGCCACCAAACAAACCTATAAACACGGTTCCCCCATCGATAAGACTTGAAAGCACGGAGACAGAGAGGATCAGTATTTACAGAGGGCGATGGGAAGAGAGACACAGACGGGCTCGCACACATCAACAACAACTCAATAAGTGTTTTCTAAGTGTTTGCTCTGCAGTGTTTGATACCACCTCCATGGTATGAAGCAGACTGTTCCCATCCATTGCTTCACCTTTGAAAATATGTATATGCTTTGTTATGGTAACTGTCATACTTATATTAACGCCACATCTACAGTCATTTTCACCCAAATAATGACTGTTTCGTGTTGAAACTTCGGTACTTTAGTAACATTGTTTCTGTTTTTATTCCAACCCTAGCTTCACATTTGTCAAATAACTTTCGTACGTAAGTAATGCCATTTCTTCTTCGCCAACCCAAATCTTCACAGAGCTTTTGTACTGATTTAACGCTACCTTTACAGTCATGTTAACCCTTACATTGACTTATTTGCAATGGAACTTCGGTACTGAAGATATGCTGATTACGTTGTTAATCTAACCAAAGCATTATCGTATTTTTCACACCTTCCTCTGTAGGTATTTTCATCTGATTATTTGTCACGTAACTTTTGCACTTTCGCTGTTATTTTTGGCCATTTTAACCAAACGATCCAATCAAACCCAATTGAATTGATATACCCCAAAAGTCACAAATCACATCTCGGTGGGCATTACAGACGAGAGATGTCGTTAGTCTGCTAGATTTCGTACTGAAGTAACGCCATTTATCGTAAACCTAACGTTGACTTTTTTGTGATGTAACTTTCGTAATCAAGTAACGCCAGTTCTTCAGTTATAGAAACCCAAAAGTGGAGTTTCTGTAACTTTGCTTCTTCCTCAGTAACTTCAACCCCAACGAGGACCTATTTGTAACGTTTTGAACTCATGTAGGTGACACATCACAGGGGATTTGATTGGCACTTACTGTCACATGACTTCCTGCCGGTGATGAAGCCAGAGATTTGTCTCAAAACATTGACTTATTTTTCACTTTTTTTGTCCTAAAGTAATGCAACTTCGTCAGGTATTTTAACCAAAACTTTGTCAAATGTTCTCCTAGTTTTTGTACTTAAATTACACCACTTCTACAGTTATCGAAAACCTAACCTTGTCTTTTTTGTGATGTAACTTTCGTAATAAAGTAACGCCATTTCTTCAGTTATAGAAACCCAAAAGTGGAGTTTCTGGTCACAAATCTTTGGCACTTAAGTAACACCACTGACCAACGTTGACTTTGCTTCTTCCTCAGTAACATAAACCCAAACGTGGACCTATTTGCCACTTTTTATACTCATGTAGGTGACAGATGTGATTTGATTGGCACTTACTGTCACATGACTTCCTGCCGGTGATGAAGCCAGAGATTTGTCGGAGGTCCAGACCCTCGGTGGAGACGGTGATCTCCAGCTGACCTCGAGACAACCAGAAGAGTTCCCGGCTGTTCAGCTCCGTCAGAACCTCGGCGAAGTCCGGATCCTGCACAGAGAGGAAACGTTAGCTTTAGATGCTATCCACATATTAAATAGGGGGATAGCAATGTGTCTCTTATGCATATCATGGTGTTGGTTTTCGCCGATGTCACAAAATAACCAATTTGAATTACATTTCCACTTATCTATCTGATCTCACTGAGCGATCTGGAGACTAAATATGAAAGTTGTTTGCTCAGTATGACCTTCTTTAAATGATGTATGTATGAATATCAACTTTAAGACACACATTATTTAGGCTCTTTCTGACCTAATTGAATTGTAACATTGCTTGTTTTTTTGTTATTTCCTACACAAAAAACATTGTGTCACATTTCATGGTGCCGGTTTTCGCCATTTAGATGTCAGAAAAAGCAGACATTATTATTATAATATATAAAAAGCATACTGAATAAAATCCTAATTCCCATGTCTTAACAATATAAGACTTTTGGATGATTGGCTTGACATATTTTAATACAAATTAAGGCCTTATCTTACACAAGGCTAATAAGAATAAGAATTCATAAAAGAATACATCTGATGGTCTTGAATACCAGTGTGTAAATTCTTAAAAAAACGTTATTATATATTGAATAAAATCCTTAATCCCATGTCTAAAAAATATTATACGTTTGCATGATTGACTTGTATTTGTATACTAATTAAGGTCTTATCTTGTGTTGCCTCCTAAGACTGTAAGGATCTGTGGGAACCAATGAGAACGTCTTATCGCGCTGTTGAGATCTTGTTGACATACAACATCGAGACGCCAAACATATTTCAACAAAACACAGATGGGTGACACGTTCCCAGCGAATCAAATGAACTTCAGTTCATCCCAAACAACGATGAGATCAGCGCGGAGAGGGAAACAGATCCAAGAACAGTGAAGGCTCCTCCAGATGAGATTAACTCAGCAATAACAGTTACATACAAACACATGATTTGAACTCACTAGCGCACATTTGAAACCTGAGGCTAAAGTATGGCTCGCATTGCTTTAACACTTTTCATATTGGGTTTAATGGCAGGCTGCGGGAGAGATGTGGGGGGGGGGATGTTGAAAAATGTTAGTAATAGGACAGATGTACGAGCGTGTTGAAGAAATGTTACTTCCATGACTTCAGGGCCTAGGAGCCAAAGCAGAGCGAAGGAGAGTTATAGTTATCGTGGAAAGTGAATAGATGGAATAACGAGAGAGGGGGGGGGGGGGGGGGGGGGGGGGGCAAAGGGATGAATGGAGGTCTGGTGTAAATCAGGCCGAGCAGAATCACTGATAACGAAGAAATAACGACTTTTGAAAATCACGACTGCTTGTCTGGATGATTTTTTAGAGATGGATTAAGAGGGACAGGTATCGTCTTCAGCTAAAAGGAACTTTTATTTATACAGAGGTAGAAGAAGTACTCGGATGCTTTACTTAGTATTAGAAATACTATGGTGTTAAAATACTCGGAAATACGAAATGTTACTCAGAGGTATTACGAGCAAACTGTACTTCAAGTATAAAAGTAGAAGTACAGAGTATACAGAGTGGCTCTTTTCACAGGATTATATTTCATTATAGCATACTAGTATTTCGTTTTATCACCAGCTTCGTGTTTAAGTTTGTCAATGTCGAGCCATTTCTAGATATCTTTTAGAGGCACTGGGTATATTCGTAGTACAGTACTATGTATGGTAGAAGTAACTGTTAGTGTTTAGAGTAA